AGGGGCACAGGGGCCTGAGAGTCATGGGCAGGGACTCCTGGGTCCTTGGGAGTGTTTTCCATCTTCTGTTGGGCCAGGTGAAGTCAAAGGGTGGGTCAAAGGGGCTTGGAGACCATCTGGCAGGCCTCACAGCATACAGGCCAGGATCCTGACTTTGTTTTAACTTTTCCTTTTATAATTATGCATAAAGAGAAGTACAGCAAGAATAGTACAGCAAACTCCAGTATACCCTTTACCTGGATTCACCGATTTCTAAGATTTCTAAGTATGCCCCATTTGCTTTTCCTTTTCCTCTCTCACATGTATTGTTAGTAGTATTAGGATTAACCATTTGAGAGGATGTTACTTTACACTCTTCTCTCCTTAATGTACCAGGAAGTATTTCCAAAGCACAAGCATAGTCTATTATGAAACCACAGTGCTGGTTATTAAATATAGAAAATGCCACCTTGGTACAATACTTGCTTGTTCATGTTCCAACTTTGTCAGTTGTCTCAATAATGTCCTTTATAGCATTTCTTCCCTCTAGTACGACTCCATCCAACATCATGTATTACATTTAGCTGCGTAGGTCTAGATTTCTGACATCACCTCACACGCAGTGAAACACACAGGAGCTGAGATGCAGATGGGGTTGAACAGAGACATTCAGCTTTACACGTGTGTCCTGTGAATGGATATTTTTGTAAATCTTCTAATGACTTCCTGTTCTCACATAAAGCATTGTGCTTTTGACTGTGTGTGGGTGGTTAAGAGTTAACTGGATAAATATACCAGTTTAGAAGTCTGTTTTGTGGTGTTTTTATTTTTGAATCTAATTTAAGGAAACATAAAATGGAAGTGTTCTGAGCCAATGAGGGGGACCTTAATCTGGTGGGGGACCCCTAGGCTGGAGGGAGGGGTCTTGCTTTCTTAGAAATGCTGTGCAACCTTGGCTCATCATTGTCCCTCTCTGGGTTTTGTTTCCTCATTGCCATGGGTGACTCCAAGGCCTTCCCGTTTGGAATTGTGGAATTAGAGAATCAAGCTCTGCATGGAGAGATGGGAGATTTGGGTTCCTAGCCAAGCAGGACCAGGGATTCTTGGGGCGTCTTAGGCAGCCTGCATCTTCTCTCTGGATTCAGTCTTCTCATCATGGAGTAATGAACTCTGAGGTTGTTCTGCTCATGCTCCGTGTATCTGAGAGGGTTTGGGTGGAGAGCGTGGACTACAATTTAGCCTCTCCTCTCCCTGCCCCCGTGGTGGTGCAAACATTTAATGTGCCTGGCTGCTAACTAAAAGGCTGGAGGCTCGAATCCACCCAGAGGCACCTCAGAAGAATGGCCTGGTGATCTACTTCCAAAAAATCAGCCATTGAAAACCCTGCAGAGCATGGCTCTCCTCTGACATACATGGGTTGGCCATGAATTGAAATTGACTCGGCGACATCCGAGTTTTGTGGCAGGACCAGAGTTGATGTTCCCATCCCTCAGCCCTCGTTTCTTCTCCCTAGACTCCTTTACTCCTCTGCCTCCAAGTCAGGAAGCCTAGAGAGGCCTGGATGGGCTGGTCCCTCCTGAAAGCAGAAAGTGTGTGTGTGTTGGAGAGGGCAGGAAAGTGGTCTCCAGAGATACTGGCCCACCTCTCCTGAGTTATGTGCTGGGCTGACTTTGTAGCTCACAAAGTTTCATGGACATTAACTGTCCATTACCCAGAAGTGATGTTCAAGGAAGACAGCAAGTTGTGAAGTGTGCAGAATGGAGCACTATGCAGCCATGAAAAAGCACAAGGCAACTCCTTCTATCCTGGAGGGTCTCTGAGATGAATACCAAACCAAACCAAACTCACTGCTGTAGAGTTGATTCTGATTCAAAGCAACCCCCATTGGGTTTCCAAGGCGATAAATCTTTACAGAAGTAGATTGTCCAGTCTTCCTTCCATGGAGTGCCTGGTGGGTTTGAACCACCAACCTTCTGGTTAGCAGTCTGATGCCTTTGGCACTGTGCTACCAGAGCTCCTTCTGAGATGAACAGTTAAGGCCAAAAAAAAGTCCAAGTGCAGAACTAAATGCTTCCCCACTTGTGGGGGAAAATATGTATGTAATTTACTTATACATGCAGACTATCCCTGTAAGAATCCATAAGATCTTGATAATGCTGATTACCTCTGAGATCTAGATCTGAGTGTGGGGTAGGGGGAAGGAGAATCATGATCTGTTTATTCCCTTTTGTATCCTTTGAATTGTGAGCTCTGTAACAGTATCATTTATTTCAAGAGAGATACAATTGGAAAAACCAGTACAGGCATGGAAGAGGGGCCCTAAAGTGCTGGTAATGTTACATTTCTTGATCTGCACACCGGGGACACAGGTGTGCTGTTTGTGAAAATCACTGTGCTATACACTTACGTGTGCACTTTTCTGAATGTATATTATACTCTGATAAGAAGTTTTAAGTTACTAGGCTGTAAATGGTAATTTCTCAAAAAATATGTGTTTAACAAGAACTCTAAAGAGCTACAGTTGACTTGTGGTTGTCTTCAGGATGGGTGGTATTTCAGCAGTTTCAATTTTTTACAATGAAAATATAAGCAGAAAAACCTATGACTATGTCTTCAGAAACAGTGATCCGTATAAAGCATTTCTGGAAGGACACACAGGAAACGGCTAACAGTGATTGCCTTTGAAAGGGGGTAGGAAGAGCTCACTCTTCACTGCATACCATTGGATACTTGAATTATTTATGTGAATTAACCTGAATTATTTACCCACTGCACCAGTGGTCTATTAAAAACTATTTAGCAAAACAAAACTATTCTCGTTCTGTCCCAGCAGCACTTGCTGGGACAAGACTGGGCCAGGGCGAAACAGAGAAGTCAAGCAACTTCTCGGGGATCACCCAGCAAATCTGGTGGCAGAAGTGGGCCTCCAGCTCAGAGCAGCCAAGTGTCTGCTCTGCCCCCACTCCCAGGTTTCCTGCCATTGACCAGGCCAGTCCTTTTCCTGAGCCTTGGCCAGGGGCAGCCTGTACCTGGACCAGGGTAGGGGCTGAGAGTGCAATGTGCTTTCCTAATTAGCTCCTGAACAGGCAACGGTGGCTTTGCTGGGACACAGGATAGGCAAGGCCAGTGTCCTGGAACACAGGGGAAGTGAGGTAGAAGGTACTTGGAATGCTCTCCTGGGCGGGTCCCTGGCCCCTGGGGGCCCTCCTTCCTCTTCTCATACCAAAGGGGCTGAGCCAGGGGTGCTGGTCACCCCATCAGAGTCTGGCACAATGCCTGGCTTACAGAGCGTGCTTGGTAATCTAATGATCTGCAAAATGGGCAGCCTTACTTCAGGCTCCGTCAGAGGGACAAATGCAGTGAGGTGGCAGAGGGGACATGAGCATGGACTCTACAACCAGACTTCAGTCACTAAATAAAAGTGTTAAATGAATTTTTAGGTAGGCATTTGAACACACCTTGGTGAGCAAAGGAGGGTTGCCTGGCCACTCAGGGGCCTCTGTGGCCCCTTCTCCCTGCCTTCCCTCCTTCCAGCCTTCTGAGCTTCTCAGGTCCTGGCCTCACAGGGACAGAGCCCCAGCCAGAAAGAGCCAAGAACATCTGGCTCTATTGACTGGCTGTCCCATCACGATCCTGGCTGGATCTGTCAAATGGCAGTAACAGTTGCCCCCACCTCCTATGGATGCTGGGAGAGTAACTGGGGCTGGGCCTCCATCTTGGCAACACAGAGCAGAGGAGAAAGCTTGCTTTGGCTTTTAAGGTGAATAGACCTCAGGTCAACCATTGCCCTGCCCCGTGCCTTTGGGTGCCATCAGTTCTCCAAATCATCTCAGCTGGCATGTGTATGAATATCATCCTGCAGGCTGGGCACAGCGAGCCAATGATGCAGCACCTGTATGGAGCACACAGTAGATGCTCAACAGTCTGCTAAAAACATCCCTTCGTATTAACTCATTTGCACATGTGGAAGACTGCATGCATATGCAGCTTTTGTGTTAACAGAAGACTGGAAACAACCTAAATGCCTGTTACAGGGAACGGGCCAAACGCAGCACATGCAAGAAGTGAATAAGCAATCCTTACTAAAGCAATGAGGACACCGTTTATGTACTGATTTGGGTAGACAGTCAAGCTATACTATGGGGTAAAAAAAGCAAGGAGCAGAAAGTGTGTCCAATGCCCCACCATCTGTATGAAGAGTGGGAGAAACCGAATGTTCGTGTGTATTTCCATATTTGCTTAATCATTCACAGGGAGACTGAGGTGCTGCAAGGAGAACCAGGTGGCTGGGAGACAGGGGTGAACAGTGATTCTTCACCCTTTATGTTCTTGTACCTTTCGGACTTTGAACCATGTGAATGACTATGTTCCTTATTCAAAAATAAACAAAATTAAGATTCCTTTAGCAACCACATCAGACACCCAGCAGGTGTGTAAGAACATTTGATAAGTGAGAGATGGTGAGCAAAGTCTGACTGTTTCTACCTCCAGAGAGGAGGAGTGCCCCGCCTCTCCCAGCCCCACCCTCTCTAGGGTGCAGAACAGCACCTGTGACACTGTGCCTCTTCCTAGGTTCAGGAGAGTGGCCACCTCTGGCCCCTGAGGTCCCCAGGCCCTTTCCGTCCTCAGTTGGGAACATCTTTTTATTTAAAAAATATCTTTTATTTTAAACCCACCAACTCTTTCTCTCATGCACACACACACACGCACGCACACACACGTGCACAGCCACGCACACACCCTCCATCACCAACAGTCTTTGTTTTTCTAAAAGTTCTGCCTTGTCTCTGATCAGCTGGGGCCGGGCTCCACTGGACGGGTCCTCACAGCTCTTCGGGGTGGGATCAGGATATCCCAGGGGCCCTGCCCACAGGGTCAAGGGCCCAGGCCATTGTCCCCTGATCCCTGCACAAAAGAGGGGCAAGTTTGGCTCCTAGGGTCTTCCCCCCTGTCCAGCCAGTGCTGGCTTCTGGCCTCCTTCTCTGGGGTCTTGCTTGGAGCAAACGCTGCAGGGCCCAGGTTCATCTCCGTGGCACTCGAAGGGGGGCCACGCCCCTCACCTTCAAGCAGCTGCCCCCCACGTCACGACGGCCACCCTGTGGGAGGGAGAAAGAGGTGTTGGGAGGTTGGGTCAGGTCACAGGGAGCACTAGAACTAACCTGCATCCAACAGGAGGGGACTTGATAAATAAAACCACCTTCAAGCACATAATAAAGTTTTCTGCAGCAGAAAGTAGAGGAAATTCTGGACTGATAGGGAATGACTGTCGAGATAACATTATTGAAGGACAAAAGCAAGGTGCAGAACTGAGTAAACGCGCGCTTCCGTGTGCTGGAATTTCTAGAGAGAAAGGTACACAGGAAATTGCAAATGGGTTTCCTCAGAGGAGGGGATTCAGTGACTGAGAGGCAGGGTGGGAGAGAAGTTTTTTTATTCTATATACTTTTATACCTTTTTCATTTCTTCCCCATGTGATTACTTTTTTAAATTCAATATACTTTAAAGCATAACATTTTATTACGTTAAAGGGCAGGAGCCCCCACTGCCTGGCCATATACTCAGTGGCTCACTCATCGACCTTCTGGTCTCCCAGCCTTCACTCAGGGAATTTCTTCTGACAGGAATATGTCCTCTGTTCCTGTCTCCCTCCAAAGGTATCTCTGCTCTTGGAACCACCTAGCACTCACTGCACCTTTCTGAGGACATCCCACGGGGATAAACTCAGAAGGGGAAGATGGGGTCTCTTCTTTGTCCCTCATTAGGTGGGAGCTCATGAGCTGGCAGGAAAAAGGAGGTCTTCATTCTGTGGTCCCAGCCCTAGTCCAGGGCCTGGCATGCAGCAGGCGCCAATCAGTGCTGCTTCAGTGAGTGGTGTCTACTGGAAGACCAGCTAATGATGGCAAGCCCTGAAGCCACTGGCCCCTCACCCCTCCGGCGAGCAGTCTCTGCCTGCCTGCCCAGATATATTACCTGCCCAGATAATATTATATTCCGAGGTCTGACATGTGGGGGTTTCATCCTCACTGTAAACCAGAGAGGTCACAGACGCTACGGCATCCCCTCTAGAGAGGCCTCGGTCAGCTGAGTGAGGGGCCCAGTGGCTCCAGTGAAAGAGATGGGCTGGAGATCCATGTTGCCCAACAAACTGTTCTGTTTCCAGGACACGGGTCTCAATCCCACTGTTAAGCCTCCCTCCCACCCGAGCCTGGCTAGGAAATGATGGAACAGGCATCGTTCTCACCCCGTCTAGAGAAAAAACTAGCCATCTGGGAGATCCGCACCCTGCCCTCTGTCCCCCTTCACCCCTGGGCCCAGGTTGGGGCAGCTCCATCCAGATGTGAGGCCAGCCTCCCTCGAGGCCCTTCCGCCCCGGGACAGCATGTTCATTCACAGGCTGGGCTATTTTGAGGGCTGAGGACACGGTCCCAGCAGAGCTTGGGGCTTGGGCTTCTCAGATAAATTCTGGCAGAAGGGGCTGAGCAAGGCAGATGGGGGCAGGAAGAGGGAAGAACAGTGCTGAGGGAGGGGACAGAACCAGCCTCTCACCCCTTCACTCTAAGTCCTCAGGGACAGAGGGCCACCTCCACTCCAAGCGTCCAGGTCATCTGGATATTGAGGTTCCATGAGAGCGCTGGCTCTATTCATTTCCCTGAACCTGTTTCTTCATTTATGAAAATGGGAACAAAATGATTTTACTTGCCACCCCAGGGTGCTGTCAAAGTGGTGAAAGAGGTAAAACTGCCAAGAGCACCCAGAAGATGTCTTGACCAGGCCCTAGTTCCTTTGTTCGAGGGTCTCTGGGAAGCACTGTGGTTAGGAATTGGGATCTGGAGTTAGACCAACCTGGGCTTGAATTCCTGCTCTGCCATGGACTACCTGCTAGCACTCAGGCAGTGACTTAAGCTGTCAGCCTCAGTTCCCTATCTGGAAAGTGCAGTCACTGTGAGGCTCACACAGTCAACACAGCTAAAGCCCTTAGCACAGTGCCAGGAACACAGTGAGTGTTCAATGAATGTTTACAAGTGGTATTATCAACAGCAGCTGGTACCCTCCCCTCCTCATCCTACCCACCCTTCTGCACTCTGAGCTGGGTACCAACAGGGGAGGGCCTCACAAGATGATTCTATTCAACCTCCACCTCCAGGAGATAAAAGGGGAAACAAGGCAGAGACGAGAACGCTTCTCCTTCTCCTGCCTGCTACTTCTACTACAGGGTGCCAGATCGAACCCTTACTTCAACTGAAGATGCCATAGGGAAGTTTCTATGATGTTGTTGTTATGTGCCATTGAGTTGGACACGACTCATAGCGACCCCTCCTTGGGTTTCTGAGGTGGTAGCACTACGGAAGTAGATTGCCCAACCTTCCTTCCAAGGAGTGGCTGGTGGGTTTGAACCACCAGCCTTCTGGTTAGCAGTCAAGTGCCTTAGGCACTACGCTACCAGAGCTCCCAACAGTTTCTTTGGTGACCCCCAACTCTAGATAGCCAGAATGGGAGGGAGCTGGTAGCTCGTGGTAAAGGGATATGGTCTGGGAACTTAGAATTCTCTGGCCCCCAAAGCTCAGAGCCTACTCAGGGCTCCTCAAGACAACCAGTTTTCTTCCAGTTGAGTGTTCAAGGGACCAGAGCTGGCCAGGAGTGCCCCTTTAACCGACTCCCAGAGGAGACTGTGGAGTTGAGTGCATGGTTTCTACAGCCAAATTTGGATGGGTTCTTAGCCCCACAGATAGATTCCAGGGGGGCACCCAGGCACAGGCAAGACCCAGTGAGCTGTGGGATAGCCTGAGGCCTGCAGAGGAGCCCCCCAGCTCCTTGTTATGGGCATGGGTATGTGGTAGACACACCTCCTACAGACCCTCCCACATCAACCTTTCCCACTTCCCATTCAGGCAGCCCTGAGTTCAAATCCTGGCTTCATCCCTGGCTGTGTGTCTGTGAGCCAGTGTCAATGACTCTAAGTAGGTATAGAAAACCACAGTTGCTCCTTCCCTAGTGTTAAGGATTTTAATAATAATAACGACACATTAAGTATGCTCAGCACAGGTGATCGGGGCTCAGAGAGTGTGACTGTCCTCCCTGGGCAGTCTCCGTACCTGCACTGTGCTCCCTCCACCTTGAGCTTCTTCCCACTTTCTTCTCTTGGTCAGGCTTCTGCCCTGGCTCTCACTGTGCTCTACCTCCAGAGCACCCTCCCTACCCTCTTGACTACCTCCATTGCTAAGCATCCTTGAGGAGTCTAGCATAGAGGCCTTGTCAGCTCTCATCTTGAGTCGGGTGCTTCCCTTTGTGCCCCTTCCTCCCCATCTTTGCTTATCACACCACAGCATCCTTGTCTTTGTGTTCCTGACTGAGTTCTGACTTGGTACTGAGTTCCAGACTGTGGTGGGAACCCACAACCTGCTTCCCTGGGTATGTTCTCAGTGCCCTAAACGAATGAATGCATGAAAGGCGCCTAAGGTGAGCCCAGCTTCACATCCCAGCCTGGGCACTGACAGGCCCACAGCCGGGAGTGGCAATGCTCTGAGAGAGGGTACAAGTCTGAGGCTAAGAAGACTGATTCAAACTGAAGCTGACATGGGTGTGAGAGGCCAGGCCGGGGGGTCTGATGAGCAGGTGAGGGGTGATCTAAGGCTGCCCCTCAGACCAGTGGGGACACAGAAGACATCCCAAGGGACCTAAGGCAGGCACGAGAACCAAGGACTGGGGAGTTAGAAGGCCTCCCTCCAGTCCCCCATGCCCTGTCACTAGTAGGCAAAAGGCTGTGGACCAGTCAGGACTCTCTCAGCTTCAGTTTCCCCAGATTAAAAGGCAGCTGCTGGATCCAAAGCTGTCACTCAGGCTTCCTCACAGTAGGAAAAGCCCAGGTCAGAAAGGGAGAGAGATTAGGGCTGAAGCGGGCTCCCTGGGGCCAGGCAAGAGGAGAACCACCTTTCAGCTGACTTTAAAGTCAGTGCACACTGCTACCCCATCCACTCCCTGCCAGCTGGGCTTATAACACTAGGACACTGTGCCGAAGCTTAACTGCGGCTCTGCCCAGCCCCGCAACAGTGCCCCCATCATTCTATCCCTTTAGGGCTGGATATTCTCAGGGGACTCCTTTCTACTGATTATCAGCTAGTGAGCTCAGGCTTGGGCTCAGGCGAGGATATGTGTCCCCTTTTCTTCTCAGTTGCTTGCCCTTGGGTTAGGTCTTAGGATGGAGGCTATCAATTCGAGGTGGGGGTAGCTCAGGGCACCATGTACCCAGCTAAGCAAGAGCCTGTGCTCCACTTCGCAGCTGAGGAAATGTGCGTGTGGGATTCTGACGCTCCAGCCTCAACAGTGTGACAAGACCCGTAGAAGAACGACCTTCCTGGCAAAGTTCTTGCGAAGGTAAAACAGAACGAGAAGAGCACCAAGCATACAATATAATAAGAGTCCCATAAAAGATGGCTTTGTTATTATGGCCTTAGGCCCCTGCCCCAGAAGGGGGCCATCCCAGGACACCTTCAGTTGCACAGTGTTGCTCAATGAGCAGTCTCCATCCGCTAAACCATGCCAGAGTTCTGGGATTCCCTGCACGCCTCCAGTTTAAGGGACCCTAACACCAAGATCGGGGCCCTGGGCGACGCACCTCCACTAACTCCACGCCTCTTCCTTTTCGCTTCACCGGGGTCTCTGCCCTTTGCCCTCCAGAGGTCCGGTTCCCCGCTAACCCCCGACCCCGCGGTACCGGGACGCCACGCACTCACCCCCTTGCGCTGGTTGCTGAGGCAGAAGGTGCAGATGGAGCGCGGCTGGCGGCTGCCGTCGGTGGCGGCGGAGAGCGTGCTCTTGGCACCGCCAGCGGCACGGAAGCACGGCTGTCCGTCGTCGGCCGCGTCGCCCAGCAGCAGCACGTTGGCCAGGTGCGCGATGTAGCTGGACGCCAGGCGCAGCGTCTCGATCTTGGACAGCTTGCGGTCCACAGGTTCGGTGGGGATGAGGGTGCGCAGCGCCGTGAAGGCCGTGTTCACGCTCTGCGTGCGGT